AAAATTTTAAAAATAAGATGTAAACGAGGGTTTCAAAGGATCCCACGTGCTTCTCCTTCATTTCCCTCCTGAGAGTTCCGGCACCTCTTTTCCCAGAAAAAAAAGCCCTTGCTCGGAGCTGTTCTCTCATGAGCAGTTTCTGTCAGAGCTCTCTCAGCCCCACCTGCCTCACAGGGTGTCTGTTGTGGGGAGGGGAAGGGAAAGGAGTTTGTAAGCCGCTCTGAGACACCTTTGGGTAGTGAAGGGTGGGGTATAAATCCAATCTCTTCTCTTCTCCTTCTTCTTTGAGGGCAGTTTCTGCCAGAGCTCTCTCAGCCCCACCTCCCTCACAGGGTGTCTGTTGTGGGGAGGGGAAGGGAAAGGAGACTGTAAGCCGCTCTGAGACTCCTTCGGGTGGTGAAAGGGTGAAAGGGTATAAATCCAACCTCCTCCTCCTCCTTCTATTTTGGACCCAGACCTACAAAAATGCATGCACATCACAATGATCCACTGCCAACCCCAAGTGACTTTTCAATCACAAGAGAACCCGTTAAACCAAACAAACCCCAACCATTGTCATCTGCTGTGTGGTGGGTTCCACGCATCGAATGATCCTAGCTCTGTATCACATTTTTTAAAAATATATGAGCCATATCACCCCTTCCTTCCAATCACTTTGGATCCATTTAAAAGGGTGCTAGGTGCTTCTCCACTTCAAACGGGCACTGGTTCTCCTACTGTGTCTCCTTTCCAAAGATCTCGGGAGCTGCGGTTTGGGGAGTTGTCTGCTGCTCTCTGAAAGATAATATCCTCAGCAACACCCGTGTGAGATATCTCGTAACTGCTGGCCCGAGTTTTTTTTTTGCACCTAGAAAGCAGGAGGCTATGAGAACACACTCCCTCTGGAGTCAACTGTCTGAATTGTCTGTCCTGTTTCACTTCCAAGAACAATCCTGTTCCAAGAAGATTCCTTGGGAGAAGGCTTAGCTGCGACACACGTTTAACATCAGGTTAGACCTAGAACCACTTCCCTATATGCAGGGGTCATTCGTAGAAAAAGAGCTGCAGGAGCTTATTAACATACGGTATGCTAATGAGCTACTAGGCTATTAGCATAATAGCTCATTAGCATATGCAACGCCCCCTGACATTAGTGATGTCAGAAGGGGAAGCAAAAGGGGGGGGAAGCATCTTCAAAAGCCTCCCCTTCCCTTCCTGCAGAAGGAGGAAGGAGGGAAGGAAAGAGAGAAGGGGTTTAAAGTTTAAACCCCTTCTCACTAGAGTTGGACCGCAGAAGCAGGAAGGAGGAAAAGAAAGAGAGAGAGTAGAGAGAATGAACGATGGAAGGAAAGAGT